TACACTGTAAGACCACATGGGATCACATGAACATGTTAAAAGAATGTTCCCAATTCATGTGAAAAACATGTTTCATGTGTTGATTTCACAAGTAAAATCTTGTGATTTTTCTCGTTTTTGTTTAAATTCACACAAAAAAACACATGCAAAACATGTTTTTCTCCTGTGTTTTCATGCTACGTTCATGTTTACGCACATGAACATGCTTGAACTAGCCGCTCTCTCTTCTCCTTTCAGAATTAAATTACTCGTACAAACTGAATTAATTGAAAATGCTTTCTGCAACAGGTAAGATAAAAATTAGTCAAACTCACTGCATTCCACTTCAAAAGATCTGAACTATCCCTTTATTGTCCTTCACATGTATTTGGCAGTACAATTACTCTCAGTGGATTCTGGAAAATGTCCACCTTACTGGAGTAAATTTTAAATTAAACTTTACAGGCATTGAAAAATAAGTTTAATTGAAGCATTTTATTATTTTTAAGTGACTCGTCCAACAAACAGGAGCTGCTGAGAGATTTGTGGTGACGCCACAGCTCTGAACTCCTCTCAAATCTCAGCAGCAGTGGGGAGTCAGACTCGTACAGGAATCCACACCTGGCGCAGCCACGTGAATTCAATTCATGACCGAAAAGGGGGAACACATTTCTGTCAAGTGTTTATGCTGCCAGAAAACCATCAGGAGGTTGTTAATATTCAAGTCTTTGGGCTTGTGCAACTCTTGTAGAATGATTTCTTACTTTGTAGGCCTTTGCACACCAGAACTCTGGATCCAGTGATGGGTGACGGGCAAAGATAAAATAAATGAATACAAATCCTCACTTTTCTCTTCTGATATTATGGATTGACACGACTGTGGATCAGTTCTCCAACAACTATGTAACGTTGCTAAAAATAGAATAAACATCCACCTCTTATACACACAGTTTGCAGCTTGCTCACTTTCTTTGCCCCCCCCCCAAGCACACACCACCTCCTCCATCCCCACCGCTGCCTTCTTTCTCCACCCTGCCGCCTCCCCCAGCTTTTCTCACACATCCAAAATCGCAGCCTCGCAGCACAAGCTTCAAAGAGCATAGATAAGTTGGGTGTAGCGCAGGACTGACTGCGACTCATCACAACGCACAGTCGCCATGATAATGTCATTTTCACACGCAGAGAGCAGCATTTAGGTTTAATTCAGCCAGAACCCTCACCTGGACTGATAAACGGATGTTAGAGGGGAGAAACTTCAAAGCTTCGTTTGCTTTTCTCTGAGTATTCACTACATCAGGTTACAGCAGGACGAGTAGAGGTGCACAAACACGCCATTAGAGGAAAACAAAAGCACAAGAAGGAATGTGCATATTTTTATTTGTGATTAAAAAAAATAAATAAAAAGCTTACTTTGCTGTCCAAAATTCCTAAAAGTGAACTATTTTAATAAACCGTTAAAACAAATCTTACATTTCTGGTGCGGAGAAAGGACAAATAAAGGCCACTTTTTCTCATTAAAAAGAGAAGACATTATTTATTAATGAATGGAAAAAAATTGAAGCTACAACTCAGTGCTCAGGAAAAAATAAGCTCTTAAATGTGCTTCTGTTGAACTAATATATGAGAAAAGGTTTTCTCGCTGCAGTAAGATGCTGTGCAGATGCAAGCTAGTAATCACCTCAATCTGTATCAAATCAATGAGAAATTAAAATTCAGTTAGACATTTTGTCGGCTGGAGCCAAAAGCTGCTTTTCCTCCTGGAAGTAAAGCATGACGACTGCTTTATGAGCTCCAGTACTGAGACACAAACAGCAGGTTTTAAAGCCAAACAATAAACTGGCAGTAGAAATATTCAAATACAGAAAGGAACAGAGTTTGAAGTTTAAACATTTAAATGCCATGATAAATTAAAGGTGAGATGGGAGGTCTGTTAGAGCTCAAAGCATGTTCTCAGATGACTCTCAGATACTTCCACATTAAACTTTAGCTCAATATCCATAAAATTTACTGAGTTATAGCCATTTTTGTGTAGATTAATTGCAATTAGCTGTGGCAGTTAGCTGGGTCCATTTTGAATTGAATGAACTTCAAAAGATAATCAGTCGTATTAAATCTTTTTTTCATTTAGTTAAACCAGGAAAGAAATCCATTGAGATTATTAATCTCTTTTACGAGGATGTTCTGGGCAATGCAAGGTGCAAACAAGCCATAACAGTTACAGCAACAATCTTAATAACAGAAATATTAAAATATTTACAACAAAACATTTGGTAATGCAAGTTATATCACAATTCAAGACACTTAAACGTTACAGCTGCAAGATGTGACTGAAACCTCTGACAGATGTTGTCTAAATGAATAAAAGACTCCAACCTCAATTTAAGATGCAGATCATTCCAAGAGCATGAGCCAAAATAGGAAACTCATCTTGTCTGACTCTGTGCACACACAGGGTACCTGAAACCACAGCCAACCACTGGTCCTGAGACTGGGTGCATTCTGTAGTGAAAGTTTCATTTACTCTGTGGTTCATCAAATATTTTACCAATAAACAAACAGGTTGGCAGCACGGTGGCGCAACTGGTAGAGCTGCTGCCTCTCAGCGAGCAGGTCCCTGGTTCAAACCCCGGTCCAGGGGCCTTTCTGGGTGGAGTTTGCATGTTCTCTCCGTGCATGCGTGGGTTTTCTCCGGGTACTCCGGTTTCCTCCCACAGTCCAAAAACATGCATGTTAGGCTGATTGGTAACTCTAAATTGTCTCTAGGTGTGAGTGAGAGAGTGAATGGTTGTTTGTCTCGTTTGTCTCGTTTGTCTCTATGTGGCCCTGTGATGGACTTGCGACCCGTCCAGGGTGTACCCCGCCCCTCGCACAGTGATTGCTGGACATGGGCACCGGCGACCCCCATGACCCAAAATGGAACAAGCGGGTAAAGAAAATGGATGGATGGATGGATGGACAAACAGGTTGACTCCAACAGTTAATGCTGAAGTTTTAAGCAAAATAATCTGAGCATTGAGGAATCAGTTCTTTGTAGTGGACTAGGCCCATGTCAAAAACTAAGTCTAAGGTCAAAACTCTTGACCTTTAGAACCTTGTGGGACAGGAACTGTCATTTCATTCATTTGAACTCAGAAATACAGGTTCACCCATCCTGAGACTTTCTTTCCTGAAGATTCAAGTGAAAAGAACACTCTCTTTTTATTATCATTACTATTTTACAAATGTTGATAATCAAAGTGTCTTAGTTCAAACCATTTTAGATGTGGCAGTGAACTAATCAATTTTATTAACTGTGTAATGATTTTTATTCTCATGTCAAAGCTGTTACAGAATAATTATGCATTTTCTGATTTCTGCCTTTGAGTGAGCAAGTGTGCGTTTCCAAGGTTGGAGTCAAACGAAAAACAAGTTGTTGAACGAACTGTCATGTTTTAGAATCCTCTCAGACGTAAATAGAGAAGTTTTAGCACCTGTTTCTGAAACGCGCCAAAACAAAACTCTCTCTGTCTGTGAGAACATTTCTGATCTTTCCATAACAATTCTTGTTTTTCGTCTAACCTCTTACGTCACAACACACACCCCGTCTGGTCGGTTCTGACCAATGGTAATACTCCCAAAAGTGAACCGGGAAACAGCTCTTTAAAATGTCAGTACTTCCTGGTCTACTCGGTCTTGGTTCTGTTGAAGTTCTGATGGAGTGCTGTTGGAGTTCTGCTGGATACACAGTCCAACCAGTTCTGTGAGAGACGGGATGATCCTGACAACAGAGCTCTTCCGAGTTCCATGGGATTATAACATTTTCCACTGAGGTGAATATGTGTCGAACAGAGCCTCGCCATTACTTCGGACGAGTAACAGCATCCTACTGAGACGCTGAAAGGGTGCGTTAAACGGAATCTCACCTGAGACATCTCCAGGTAAAGGAGCCGATTTCATCACCTAAGTGTACTGTAAGGAAAAGCTGAAGAAAGCCGGAGAGTGTCGATTCTGGTGAACACATTTCACCCCTCACACACCATCTTTCTCCCTCTAAACTTCTTTCCATCTTTAAACTTTTCTATCAAGTAGAAATTCTTCCAGATATTTTAGAAATGTCTGTGTAAAATGCTCACCCACATTCATGTGGGTAAAAGATCATAATTGTACAGTTTTCATAAATGTCTGTGGTGAAGCAACGGAAAAATCATGGCCGTATGATTTTTCCTGATTGATTGCTTATGTTGTTATTTTCATAATTTGCCAAATTAATGTAAATGTTTGATGTTAAATTTTGATTCTGTAAATAAATGACCGCATTCATTTTGATGGGTCAAATATAAATGACGTCTCACGTTTGCATTTCCTTAAATTCAATGCACGTTTTATTCAGTCCAGAAAAATGAGGAATCCGTGTTAAATGATGAATATATCTGAGCATCTGTTCATCTACATCTTCATGTTTCAGCTCAAAAATGGCAACAATGGACCAAACACATGAACATCCAGATGTTTTCATGTCCTCTGCAACGTCCTCTTGTTCATGAGGACTTTTCTTCCAGTCCTGTGGCGTGCACAGAGCGAGATCAAAGAGACTGTGAAAAGTGTGCATGGATCGTGCAGAGCGGGCGCCTGCCTCCACACACACGTTCACACCTGACATCGCTCTCACAGCCGATCATCATCAACACTGACGCGCCTCGTTGCACTCCTCCTGGTTTACAGCACGAAGAAGTAAGAAGCACAGCATCCGAGGGAGCCGGAGTGGAATAAAAACCTGATTGGTGTTTTTCATGGGTGCTCACATGCTGATAGTAAAAGAGGCGACTAATTAAACAAGCTGAAGCGATGAATCAACCGGACGCTGCTCAAGCAGAAAAAAAGATACAACAAACAAACGCAGAAAGTGAGACATGCTCAACTGTTGCTTCCTTACATGATAACATTGTTGATTTTTTTTTTTTTGGCTCCACTTTCAGACATGGCATCTATTATTCACACTTTGCATAAGCTGCTCGCAAAGCTCTATGAATATTGAGACTTACTGGCTTGCATGAGCTGACCCTGCCGCCCAAACACCTGGGAGAAAGGGCTCCGGCTACAGGTGAGTGTCTCCTCCATGGTTGAGCTCCTGACTGGTTCTTTGAGCAGATGAAGCACTCTGAGGGTCAACCTCAACCCAAACAGTCTTTACTTCTCCTCTCTCTGCTGACTGATTTGCCTTTGGTGCCTCTTCACAACCTCTCCTTCGCCTTTCCCAGCGATGTCATTCACCTCACCCGTCAGCTGACTGCAGATCAGTGGCTCCAGACCACGAGCTGCTGCTGCCTCGTCTCTTCAGCTGATGGGAGATCTGTGCGCCGAGGCTGCTCTCAGCCTGCTCATTAGTGCTCCACTGCTTCAGATGGCGAGCGCAGCGTGAACAAAACAAGAGAGAGGGATGGAGCGATGAGCAAAGAGAGAAGCTCTACCCCCTGACGGAGCGAGAACAGAGAACTGTGTGTAAATGTGTGTGCTTAACCATCACACTGTGGCTTCGAGAAGTGGTTTGCTCTTTTTTCCACATCTGTCTGACTCCTCTGTGGTGACTGTCTTGGAAAAGAAGACTAAATGAAATTGGGCAAATAATTGCAACATGTTCTGAGTGTGGATTTGGTCCACACTGTAATATTGATTTTTGAGTGTTAAAGGTCTAACTGCAAACCAAAGAGTAAAGCTGAAACTCTGTTCTCTCTCCTCGTTCGTCCCTGCAGAGCCATACTTGAGGATTATCTTCCAGGAATAGACAGAGACAGCGTCTCGTTCACATGCTGTCAGGTACACGCAGGTTTAATACCTTGGGTTGCTTGTACAAGCAAAATGAAAAGAAGGCATATTCGCAAGTCGCTACAGCTTCTAAACAACACAATAACTCAAGCGCGGGCGCAAGAATCAGTTTTAGAACAAAAGGGGCCACTGGATCATAAAAAATGGATCCCCATTTTTTATTAATGTCCTTGTTACGATGTCTGTTCTGCTCCGACATGAGCATTGCAGGGGGAGAAAGGAGAAGCTGAATGAAATGTTTTATTCCAACGTATCGTGGTGGTGTTTCTGCTGCAAGGCATGAAGGGTAACCATCCGCACAGCGACACAGGGCATGCTAATCTGCCCCTTTTTCCAAGGAGCAAGAAATAGATGAACATGGAGTGTTTGAAATGTGAATTTTACTCCATTTACTTCTACTGAAATTAAGAAGATAACTATAAAGAAAGATCCAGACAGGTATTGTTGAAAGGCTCGTCCCAAATCTTACCCTGAAATTTATTTTGTTGGTCGTCATCATTTACTCATCATGTTTTATTAGTTGCTATGATTTAAAGAAGCAGCTTTACATGTGGTGACACCAACAAAACTGCTGTCCACTATTCAACACCTCGTGTTTAAAGCTTGCAGAAAATGTGCATATGGTTGAGGCAGATGTTCACAACTCAACAGCTGTCAGCTTTACTTGCTCCACCTTTTTGTAGTTGTAATTATTTTTATCTTTAACATGTTTTTTGTCTTTCCTCCAATAAAAAGTACACCTGGACCTGTCATTCTGTGTTTGTCGGTTTCTCCTTCCTGTTCCTCTCAAACCAGCCGGTCGAAGCAGATGGCCGCTCGTCCTGAGCCTGGTTCTGCTGGAGGTTTCTTCCTGTTAAAAGGGAGTTTTCCTTTCCACTGTTACCATTGTGCTTGCGCAGGATGGGAGACTGCAACAAAATGAAGATTCACCACAATCTGCTGGCTTCCTTAGATAGAGAACTTTTACTAAGTGGTTCAAGTTCAGGTTAGGTTAATTTGTCATATGCAAAATCAACACAAGGTCAACAGTCCAATGAAATGCTTTGGATGAGAAGAACGACATCTCGACTCGCAAAATAAAATAAATAAATAAAAAACTAACACCCCCCCCCCCCCCCCCAAAAAAAAAAAAGCATGCAGCAAAAATACTAAAAACATTCTAAAAATACTACAAACACACTAAAAAATACTATTAAAACTATCAAAAAACTAGGCGCCAACGATGAAAAAGAAATACATCTACAGTGTGATTCAGTTAGCAGTGTAGTTAGCAGCTTAGCAAGTCTTGTTAGCAGGTCCAGTCAGCAGCTTGATGGTAATAGGACCTCAGCAGCTGCCCTCACAGTGGCAGTGGCTTTTATCATTCTTTTCTTTTTTTTACAGTGACCTGAGACAACTTCTTGATGCTATACCTGTACTACTTTCTGTTAAGGGTAATCATAAAATATCATTATGAATATTGCATTCTTACCCTGTTAGCACAGCCAAATTAGCAAAAATTGGCCAAACTTTTAGTGTTGAATTGAAAATAGTGAAAATTAAAGGCCTATCGCTCCTTGAAGGAATGCATATCACCCGCTTTCATGAGTTTTAGACTAAAATCATCTTGTGATGAGAAATGACTGAGTTGGAGCGGTCCTTGAGAATATTGTTACAATCTTGTGCAATATTTCGAAGATGTTGCCCTCAAATTATCTGTTGTGAATTACTTCACATCTAATATTTGCTTCATATCTGTCAAATAGAAATATTTAGAGCCTTTCTTGTTCAGCATCATCCCTCTTTGGAAGCAGACAACAAAAACAATCAGTTTAGTTGCAGGGCCACACACCACAGCACCACTTTGAGTATATTTGGCTTTTGAGACAAACATAGGAAACAGATGGCGACTCACATTTACAGCTAAGAACCTGGAGCTCGAAGGCCTTACCCCCATTTAGAACATCTTTACACACCTCTCGTCCAATCACTGTGATTTCACTCACTGTTCTCTGTGCAAACCAACACATCTGCAGGTTACAAACTGCAAACCTCCAAACATTTTCTGGCTTTTAGCTCACCAAGAGGAGAAATGGGATCAAATCCTTTCCCTGCCTTGTTGGTTTCAGTTCAAAATGAAACTTGTTTGAGCATGATGAAATTAACGAGGAGATCAAAGGTTTCTCGTTACACGTCTGGGATAGACGTTTCTGGTTAACGGAAGATCATTTCTAATCTCGTCGCCACTTTTCATCACAACTTCCTGTGAGAGTTCAACGTCGCTCTGGGCCAACATCCTACGCTGTTGTGTGCAAACAAATGCAGCCTCGCAATTTCAAGTTCTTGCTGAGCTTTTCCGCTCTGGCTGTTTTCTTTTTTTTTTTGTATATATACAGAAAATAGTGACTAAATATCACCCAACATGCATCTTTCAACTTCATCCCTTCCTGGCAGGATTCTCAACCAGAAATGTTCAGTTGGGGTGAAGTTTCAGTATAAAAAGTATATAAACGTCAGATCAGTTCAAATCACTTGAGTTCATTTATTACAGAAGTGCTTAAAGAAACACAAGTGTGAGCTTCACAAGAGGGAAGGACTAATCCAGGAGCCGTTAACAGAGCGCAGTCATTTGGAGCAGTTTTACCTCACCTGCCACCGAGTCAAGTGGATCTGCGTTGTGTTACGACTGGAGCAATGACACAAGAAGGGTGAGGCAAGTAAAACAATACGTCAGCGTCTCCGACACATTCACTGCTTTCTATTACTGAAGAATTGTAAAAACATTTTTCTCCATAGGTTGTATTTTTTGTAATAAGTACATTCAAGGATCGTCATTCACACCACATGTGGTGCAGGTGGTGGAACGAAATTTTGTATACAGGGTCCCAGTTATATCTAACAAATGTATAAAATGTAAAATAAAAACAGTAATAAAATCTAAGATATGAGCTAAGAAAGATGTTAACTAAAAAACAGCATTTTACTTGCAAAGGACCCATTCAAGGCACACTACATACTGTAGATACATACCAAAAATGCATGGAACATGTTGCAGAATGAATGTTGAATAGTCTTCTGCAGACTTTTATTCAGCAGCAGAGTCCAGCGGGCGGTCCCTCATAGCCAGCTGCAGTCAGACGCACACAGGCATGATCCATGGCCGTCGGCGAGTCAGCCTCCAGGTCGAGATAAGAAAGTGTTTCAAGCTCAGAGCAGGAAAGGTGTTCTCAGACAAAATATAGAAACAATAAAAATATTCATACTAAAAATTCCCAGTTTGTAATGGACTGCACCTGTCCAGGTCTGCCTTGCACCCAGAGACTAAAAACCAGCTCCTTGTGAACAAGATGGAGCAAGTGTGAAAATTTGATGGACTGACAACCTGTCGGATATTAAACTGATTCCCCTTCATCATCTAGTTCTGGACCATTTTCTTGCTCATTAAGACGTGTAAAAAATGTAAAGTGTTCAAAGGGCAGGTTCTATAACCGGTAGCTTTTTTTTTGTCATCGTTGCCATATCTGACTTCACTTTTTTTTTTTATGTAAACAGAAGTTTTCACTTTGACCCAGAGTCCACAAGCCAAACCAGGACAGAAACTAAATCTGAGCTCATGTTTCACTTCAGTCGGCATTTCCAGCAATTCCAAAGGTCAGAGAATGCAAACCAGGCCCTGAGGAAAAACATGCAGTAAAACTAAATATTAATAGGGTTTGAAAAAAGCATGCAGGAGCCTCAATTAAATAAATGCAGAAATACAAAAAGATTCTTTATGTAGTTTTGTGTTAAGTTTTACACGTCGCAATTAGATTACCTCATATATAACAGACACTTAAGGTCATGTTTCATATTTAAATTTTTGTGCCGTTAGTTCGGTCCTCTTTGGCGTTTCATATTTATATCACAACAAAATAAAACAGCTAATCTGCTGTGTCAGTTCCTTCATCTTGGGCTACAGGCTGCTGTTTTAGATGCATTCAACTTTGCATTATTCAGAAGGTTGCAATTGTGAAGCAGTGGCAACAGCACCTTTTCTTTTTCTAGCAGAATGGAACGATGCAGTGGAACATCCTGCCACCTCTTTATGACAGCACCGCTCTGAATGTGAGCAGACTGCCACCACCTGGCTCTTTAGAAGCGGCCGCAACTATTTTGGCAAATAGCTTTGTAAATGTACCAACACACACCAGAGACTTCAGATTTCAAAGAAAACACCAACTCCACGTGTGATTTTTAACATTCGCCATTTATTTTTAACACCTGCTTGAAAAAAAAACGTTTTTTTTTTTTTAGTGCAAATCAGACAAGAGAAATCAAAGACTGATAACATAATTTTAAATTATTAATAAATATACACGAGACGATTTACACGTTGAAATGCTACAAGCACTTTTCACAGTTAAATAAGAGTCTGTCAGTCCATCCTGTACGTCCAACCTGTTGCAGTCACAACAAAAAAATAAAAAAATTACCAGCAGGGGCCGAAAAGGCAAAAACAATAGTACAGCAGTACTATCGAACGGATGCAGACTGTTGTCAAATTATTATTTTGACAAGATTAATAACTACCCTGTTTAGCACATACTCTTCAATCGTTCAGCTAATAATAAATTTCAAACTAAAAATCTATGTGATTTGTGATGCTGCAACAAACACTTTCATACCCAACAAAAATTATTCCTCCACTCATTTATAGACGTTGGATAAACATGAAACGTAGACCACCGTCAGCAGCTGGAAGCAGCAACGAAGTGCTCGCATGATACAAGAACACAAAATTACTAACGGATTATACTTCTCATTGAGTGGGGGAAAAACACCACAAATCAATCATTTAATGAGCACTTGCAGGAAAAGGTGCAAAACAAACTGAACGAGTGGATGAGGACTTCTGGGTCCACAGAGACTGCAATGCTGCAGTCAACGTTACAGAAACGTTGGAGCTTGTAGTGCAAAAGCATCAAATGTAGGTTTCTCAGATGGAGAAAATTTATGGCAGCCTGTAATTGAGCAAATAATCATCCAATTGTGAAAAAAAATTTTAATTTGCAAATATATTTTAAGAGTAACATGATTTGAATAGGTTTAAGTACTACAGTGACTTGTTTGTCTGAGAAACGCTGACAAATGTTACAATTTTCACTACTTTCTTGCTAAATTTAGCCATGTCAGAACAACCGGATGGCACCTTTGTTTTTTCTTTTCCTCACACAGAAGCAGCTGGCTCAAAATAAAAATGCCGTAGCATTAAATTTAGTAAACATTACATTCAGAACAATTGTGAAAATCAAATTACCATCATAATATTTAACTAACAATTTACAGGGCTATGCTTGGCCGGACTTCTGACAGGAAGTTTACTGGCAGCGTTGTATTGTATGGTGTTCCTCTTTAGATTCAACAATGTTAACTTCAGAAACCATCATCTTTATTTACATTTTAGTATGTGAGACATGCCTAGTTGATTTTTACCAAATCAAAAGGTATATGACCAGATTATGTGTTGAGGACCTAAGTGTATCAATATAATCCATTCTAAATCAATGCAGCTCACAGACAGCATGCAGTATGAGCTTAAACCAAAAGGCCACAAATAACAGCAAATAAAAGTGCAAATGCATGCCAAAGTGACTGCCATATTCTCTGAACCACCCATCATGTAGTAAATGAGCCGAGTACGTGACTCAGTCCGTCCTACGTCTTTTTAAATCTGTTGCAGTCAGGTTAACTTCAAGTGCATGTCCAAGCTGTAGACATCAAGCGAACGCAGCAAGGAAAAATTATTCAAAATGTCAAGTTACTGAAATGGCATTCACCCACCTGTACACACTCACTCGCTGCATTTTATTTGCTCTGTAATCAGTTTTGAGTTAATGTACGTTGTAATGTAGCCTACAGGTCCGCTGGGTTTGCAGTGTAGACACGAGTTTCCTCCATTTACTTTAACGGTTTCATATGGAAGAGTCCTGGAAACAAAAAAGAACAGAACACAGGATAAATGTAACGTTCTATGTCAGCTGGATGACTTCATCTGCACATTTCACCCTTGTGATTTAAAGATGGTTGTATGTGCTACAGTCTTGAGTTTTGAAACTATAACACTTAACTAAAGACTTCACAAATAAAATTACCATCTCTTCCACATTTGATAATGAACGCTTCATAAGCGTTCACACTATTATGATCCATTTTCCTTCCGTACATTTTTCGGCATCTTTCTCGTTCCACAATGTGGAATGTGCTATTTCAACAAATCATATATCAAAACGTTGTTCAAGAGAAGTGCTCTATGACTTTTGGTATTGGTGCAACTTTAGCTTTTTGAAATATTTAGCCTTTTCTGCCACTTTTTCTATCATAGAAAATGAATTGAGCTCATTTTCCATCCTTCAAATCTTTGGATCTGTTTACAACCTTTTACTGCTCCTTTCACATTTTGTTCCGGTTCAGCTTCTTTCAGCTTCCTTCTGCAAATTTAACATTTTTTCAGCTACTTTCAGCTCATTTATCAGCTGCTTTGTGGTCCCTTTAGATTATTTCTGCTAACTACATTTTTGCACTTCTTCTAACTTCTTTTTGCTAATTTCAACTTGCTGCGCTTCTTTCAATTTATTTCTGCAAGTTTCCGCTTTTTCTGCTATTTCAGCTACTATTTAGCTGTTTTTATACCAATTGTAGGTTTTTGGGCTAATTCCAATTTTTTGCAATCATTTAAACTTTTTTTCAGCCTAATTCAGTAAAAATGTGCTTTCTCCACTTCCTTCTGGTATTTTCTTTCTGCTTTTTAAGCAAATTTTCAGCTGTGTTTTTTTTTTTCAGATAATATCCACTTTGTGCTAATTTCTGCTTCTTTAACCCTAAATGGGCAAATGTGTTCTGTCTGCTTTCTTGTGGTAATTTAAACTTTTTAGCTACCTTTTTAGGCTTTTTAAGCTAATTTCAGCTGTTTTCAGAGAAATTCAAGCTTTTCAGGTTAATGTCTGCTACTTTCATCCTAATTAACTTCGTTACGCTTGTTATGCTCCTTTCAGCTTTTTTTTTTCTGCTATTTTAAGCCTTTTCTGCTCTTTCAGTGACCATTTAGCTCTTTTGATGCTAATTTTAACTTTTTCATCTAATTTCAATTCTTTTAAGCTCATTTCAGTTATTTCCACGTCCTGGTAGTTAAACTTTTTTTTGCCTTTTCAGCTACTTCTCTGCTTTTTTTTTGTGCTAATTTCAGCTTTTTTAAGCTAATTTTCTAAATGTTGTGCTCATTTCTGCTTATTTAAACCTAGTTCAGAAAATATGTGTTCTTTCTGCTTTCTTCTGTTGTGACTTGGCGCTATATAAATAAACTGAATTGAATTCTGCTAATTTAGGCTTGTTCTTCCATTTCAGATACATTTCAGCATGTTTTTAAGCTAATTTCAGAAGTTCTGCAATAAGCATTCACACTCATTTTCGCAGGAAATGCAATTTCTGTAGTTGTACTCATCTTGCATTTTGAAAAACATTTAATTTTACCAACATATAGATGATCACAACTTAAATATGTATTTTACCGGCTTATCCATGTGGATTGTGGGAGTTGTCAAGCCAAAACGTTCCGCTCCGAGCGGCTGGAAATAGTCCCAGTTGCTTCCTCTCGACTCTGAGTGGAAGGTGACTCATCTTTCTGTGGTACATTCTGCCGAGGTTTCACTATGGTGATTTTAATGGGAACTCCTTTGATGCTATGCTGAACTCTGGTGTACTGCCGCATGGAGGGGTTGAAAGTGCGAATGGAAACTTCTGAGAGAGTGGACACCTCCTCTTTAGGCTGCATGTCTTCTTTAATGATGATTTTACTTCTTTTGCTCGAGAAGACAGTTTGCACTGGTAGAACGGCAGGCCTCTTTGCAGATATAGATGTCTGGAGTCTTGTGTTATGCTGTGGTGATGATTGCTGCTTCTCCTTTACATGAGAAAGTCCCCTTTGCAGGTGTTCGTCGTTTTCTTTTGTGACAGATATTCCACCTTCTTTCCTCTTGATTTCTTTTGGTTTCTTGGGACAGACTGCCGCGTGTTTGGTTCGGCTGCGGCGCATGGTGAACTCCCTGCTGCAGTGTGGGCAGACAAATATTTCCTGAGGCTCAGGTGACATTTTATGTGGTGAAGGGACTGACTTATTTCTTTGTGGCATGACCCTTTGAGCAAACTTTTTCTTCCTTTTGTTCAGTATTTTAAGCTTTATTGGTGATTCTTGACTTGGATTGGACATGCTTGCCTGACTGACTTTGTTTAGTCCATTAGCGGTGTTAGTAGTAGAAAGCACTCCATTTTGACTTTTTGCAAAGTGCCGTAAAGGGATAGGGTTTTTTCGAGGTGTGTATCGTCTTTTATCACTTGCATTTGCACAGGCCAAGATGTGTTTGTGCAGCTCTGGCATATTATCAAAGCTGTTTCCACACTTGGTGCATCGAATAGCTGTACTGAAGGTTTGTGGGATGTTGTGGGTGGTAAAGTTAGTCGCTGAAGCAAGTGATCCAGCAGGTGATCGGTTATGATAAGGAAAAGGAGGTGGCTTAAAGCTGGGATAGTGCTGGTTTATGCCAAGACGAACATCAGGCCCCTTGACTTTACTTCCATCTGAAGTCATAATCTTAATAGTTGTCAACAGCTCATCAGCAGTCACGTCAACATCACATTCTTCCTTTTTTACTTGTTTCTTGGGTTCCTCAAGAGGTTTGAGAGCTAAAGGAACTGTGTTCACTTTAGTTGAGTTATTATAGTTTTGAGGTCTTAATTTCCCTTTTTCTTCCTCTGTGTATGAACATAGCTGTCTGGGATGCAGCTCCTCCTGATGCTGCTTCAGATTGCAAAGGTAGACAAATTCTTTTGTACATGCACTGCAAACATAAGTCTTTCCAACACCATGGAGGCTTGATCGATGGTCGAGCAAATCGGAAGGCTTGCCAAAGAGCAGCACGCAGAATTCACATTTGTAAGGCCATTCATCAGCGTGGTCCACTACGTGATGTCCGAGTTTTTTCATTGAATGGAAAAGCTTATCGCATACATTGCAGATAAAATTTTTGGTGAATGTCTGCTGTTGTGGATCATTTTCTGTGTTGTTTGATGATTCTTCATTGGCCGTTTCAAGAGGAGGTGGACAAAAGTCTTTAGGTGGAATTTCTGACATAGAACCCAAACTGTCAGCTGTTTCCTCCTCATTTTTGGTTGGTAGGTCTGTACTACTAACAAGCTCTGGATCAGATTTTGAGTCATCCACAGTAGGAGAATCGGATATTGCATCAGTGTTATTGGACAGACCTATAGATTTTGCAACAGAGGACACAAGAATAGTGTGATCCACAGTTTGAGGGTTGGGCACAGACACAATTTGTTGCTGTTCTGTGTGATTAGCAACCATCTGGATGGGTGATGGATGCTCAACAGCACTCTCTTGTAAGGTAACTGCAGGAGGAACAATACCTCCTGGAGCTTCAAGAGATATTGTACACTCAATTAACACTGTGTTACTGGCAATGTTGAGTAGAGAATCGTTCAAGGTTACAGCTGATGTGAATGGTACTTGTGGACTGGATTCAACCACAGGTGTATTGAGCGCAATCTGATCAGTGAGAAACACATGGCCAGGAAGATTCATAGTTGGGTCAAGTGGTTGGGAAAGCGTGATTATATTTGCAGGATTGGTGGGACCAAATGAAGTAGTTAAATCACAATCAGCAGAATTAAAAGCTTTTTCTGTACAGATTACCAAAGGCTCATGAGATAAATTTGGGGTTAATACTTGGAATGGTTGGCTTGAAGGGTTGGAAATAGATGACGGTGGTGCCAAAACCGTAATTACTGAGGGAGCAGTAGGAAGAACAGTGTGTGCAGCTGGAGAAGCAAATGTGAAGGTGCATGGTGAAGCTGTCTCTAAGGCAACAGGGGTCAGCGAAGCATCTGATGAAGATAGAGAACTTGGAGGTATGGCAAGTCCATAAACAAGCCCATCTGCAACATGCTCCAGTGGACCCACATCTGAACCTGTGACAAGAGTAAAGTCTGTAACTAGGGGAGACACAAGATTCCCCAGGTTTATTTTTTGTTCTTCAGTTTTACCCAAGACATTTTCCACCACACATGCATTTGATACTTCTTTCAAAACTGCTTGTGACACAAAATTTATTGTTGGTTCAGAGTTACCTGGACTTTTTCTTTGCAAACTTAAATCCAGAACGGAGTCACCTGACGTCACATCGTCATTTCTTTTGAATGTATTTGAGAGATCCAGAGGTTTTTGGTTACAAGAATTACCACCAGTGACAGGAGGCCAACTTTCTGAAAGAAAAGGTTTTACCTCCGGCCCTGCTACAGATGGAGTCGTGCTATTGTCTTCATCAAGCACTTGTTGCACAGGTGAGCTACGCTGTGCCTCAATTTGTCGTGAGCTTCCAGAACCAAAATCTCCAGAATCTGGCTCTGGTGTTTCTTCATTTATTGTTGAAATTTGCTGTGTCAAGCCTGTTGGAGAGCTGGTTCTTCTCTTAAACCTTCCAGTCCCAGAAGGCAGGACAGATGGGGAAATGGGTGAGGATGAGGTTTGGCCGTCTGTGATGAGGGCAAGTGTAGATTTAAGACCCTCCTGCTTCTCAAGGAACTGCTTCAATTTTGGAGACAGAAATATTGTTCTTTCCTTTTGTACAACTGTAGGCTCTGAGTTCTGAGGGAACAGATTCTCTATTAAGGAAGAAACAAGTGATGAAGAGAATGAAGACGCCACCTCCTCAGACTCCAGTTCAGTTTTAATTTGCGGCAAGAGAGGAGGCGTTGTCGTTCTTCTCTTGGCTTGCTGTTGATAAGGCATTTCTATATCTGTATTTAAAACCTGATTGATCTGGACAGGGTCTAAAATCAGGGCATCCAGTCCAACTAAAGGTAAAGTCCCAGACTGACCCTCTGCTACCTCACAGTTACCAACTGTGCTTGTTGACACCATCTTTCCATCGATGTAAAAGCTGAGATTCTCTGAAATATTGTTCGGCACATCTAACATGTACTGTTCTACGTATTCTCCTTCATTCTTTAAAAACAATGTGGATGCCATTTTCTCAGCATGCTGTAAATGAAGTTGAGACGATTCACTGGGAAATGTCTGAGAAATGTCCTCTTGTGGAAGCTTGGTTTGCTCATCGTGTGCGAGTTCCAGTGGGTCCTCGTGTACATTGCACTCATGCTGTTGCTTGTTAGTATTTGTTGTGAATATTTTCTCAGTAGACATGCAGGCATGATGGTCCTCTAATGTTTCAGGCATACAATGCAGACCACTGTGATCTCCACCCAACAAAGAGGTATTGGTGCTAGAGAAGGTTAAAGTATGAACCTGCATGATTGAATCTACTGCATCCACAGGCTTCATCTTCTCATGTGGCAGGTAAATTGTGTCTGAACCTGAAGAGTTGCTTTTGTACTCATGTGCCACGTTGTTCATAAAAGCATGGCGGTGCATGTGTTGTTCCAAGCCTTGTCTGCTGGTAAAGCATCTCTTGCAGTGCTGGCACAGAAAGGAGTCTCTTTCTGCATCTTGTTTTGGAAGGTGTATGTGCTCACAGCTCATGTCTGGTTCTTCTTGTATATCCTCACAGTCTTCAAGTTCAGAAAAGTAAAAATGGGGTGGGTTGTCCATCGTCACTGAGGATATATCTGGCTTTCTGAATGATGTGTCACACAAGATTTTTGCAGTGTTTACACCTGTTAAATAAATAAAATAAATACTGATATTTAGCCAAAATATATAAAGAAAACATATGTTCATTAAAGGACTATGGCTAATAAACCAGATCAAAGTAACTATAATTATCATCTTGCAAGTATACAGGAATAGAAGGCACAGAAGTACGCTGGGAGACGGAGGTTAAATTGGCTTCAGAATCTTAGTTATGGGGATTTAAATAAAGTGTTTTTCACAAATGCAAATCATTAATCTATATCAAAAGCCTGGATAAATATTTCTCCTAGTTTTGAAAGACACAACAATGCTACCTGATGCAACAGGACAACAAATGGTACTGCTCTGGGTATCAAATCCATCAATGTTTTGTCACATACAGGTGCAGCTAGGTGCCATAACCCCAAACAAACTAAACTTTCCAAGATTGGAACAACAAATAAACATTTTGTTAGAAAATATTAACATAATTAAATTCAATATTTAGCATTAATTGAGAGAATTCACCACTCCAATTTGTGCCAGAGTTTTAGACTAAGATCATATTATAATAAATAATAGAAAACACCAGAGTAACGTCGTTCTGGTCAAACTTCATAATTCATGATCTGCGTTTAGTGATTCAAATGAGAAAAAGATATAAAACATCATCCTAATCAACTATGTAGTAAACAGGCTAAAGAACATCCAGAATTTTACTTTACTGATGTTTGTATTTTACTGTAAAATCATAGGAGCCTTCCAATATTTTGAATTGTGTATATATATATATTACATACATACACACACATATATATATGTAACAAACTTGTGTGACAGATTCCCAAGTATATTTTTATAACTTGTAGACATATATTTTTTTAATTAAAAGAGAGTGTGCACATCTTTCATAAGAAAAACTGTCAATCAAAATTCAGTTAAAATAATTTCTGGATTATCTTACCATTGTCATCTTGAGTGCAGACTAGTTGTTTGTTGAGGGATGAACAAACACAGGTTCTATGTTAAAAGAGTAAGAGAGAAACATTCTCATTGTTATCTCATCCCAAATACTATAAAACATTTTAAAGTGACAAAAAGCACAATCTAAACAGAGAAGACAGGATTAGTGTGGAAGTAGCAATACATATGTTTTATTTATTTTGTGGTTCCTGGATGAACTAATTTATGCAAATCAATCTCAAGTATGTCTAGATTGCAGTGTGACTCATCGTGTCATCCATCATTCACACAAAAGCACACGAACTATGCTGGTCTCCTGGAATAAGAAAATCTAATCCTGCTCATCTGTCTCTTTAGTACCTTTTTTACAACAAAGGTGTCAAACTCACTTATAAAAGGGGGCCAAAATTAAACCCTTTTTCAAACTACGGGGCCAATTTCAGAATCCTAAAGTTAGATACCAAACATCTTTTCTTGGTTGCAGGTTCCTCAACAAGAGTTTAATTGGTCTCATTTGACATCATAACCAAAGATTACTGAAAAGATTAAAGTATTTTACGTTTAAAATATCATCTTGGGGGCCAGATAAGATGTCGGTGAGGGCCAAATGCCTTGATTTTGACACGTGCTTTAGATTATCTTTTCAGCTGATTAAATGCACTCTCAGTAAACCCGACCAACACATATAGACCTCTGCTTGGTTTAAAATAAAATTCCAATTCACAACTGAAATAAACCCCAAAACTAAATAAGCTTATTAAGAATATTGTCTCATATTGGCATGAATCTTAGGCAAGTAAAACAAAAAGTCAGGCCTGGCATGTCTGATTAGTGGCACAGAAAAACTAAAGATAAACTTACTCTATAAAAAAAAAAGCATCAACTCAGCTGTTAATGATCAGGTCTGTGTGCACACCTTTAAAAATGTTATTTATTTATTATTAATACACTTATAGAGCAGTTTTCAAGTATACATAAGGCCATATAAGCAGTGTTTATTGTTTGACTATACAACCTACCTTTTTGTGATTTAAAGACATTTTGAAGGATTCTTGTTGCACCAAAAAATAGAATCTGTATTTGATTCAGCGCATTTCAGGGCCTACAGTATTGAATTATTTAAACCATATCAGTTTCTCTTTAAAATGGTGCACGCTGCAACAGGCTTATATTAAACCCAGTACTCATAACGAAATTAGGAAACTGCTTTGTTTTATTTTTATTAAAAAAGGTTAAGCGCTGAGATGCGTTCACGAACATCCGTTTCAGCCACTTTAGTGACGCTGCCCCCGTCCTCGCTCCATTGCTAACTGCTCCCACAACACGTCGTCACTTTACCGTGGGGCTACAGAGGCTGCTGTGCTAGCTCGTCTACTTTAAGGTCAATTGGTTTTGCTAATGTACGCGTTTAACTGTCCGCATAATACAAGGAGGCACTAACGAGCCATCACTGTCAAAGTCCGTTGACAAAGATTTACACGTCAAGCCAAAAAAATCCAGCTTTCATCGGTCTTTGAAGTATCTTTTTTTGGCTAGCTGCGGTGCTAGCGAGTTAGCTCGTGCTAGAACAACACTACGGTCACAACAAAAGGTGCCTGATAAACATAAATTGAAAATGAGTGTCCATACCTACATGTTTTTCTCGAGGGTGCCGAGAAAATGCGTTGTAAATGACCCTGTTGTTCGGCTTGTAGGACAGCTGTTCAGATCCCCATTAGAGTATCAACAAAATTCACGCGTTCTGATTGGACACGAAACCAGGAAATAAACAAATTGACCAATCAGCAGGCAGCTTGTTGAACCTATGAATTATGGTTTAAAAAAAAAAATAAAACAACAGTGAAGTTTGTATTTATATTCAACTTTTTTTTTTTTCAAACTTGAGCGGTATCACCATACTTTATTTATTGTTTTTGTTCTTCAACACGACTATTTTTTAATGAGAATAAACAAGCAAAACAAAAAAAACATTGTTGCCTAAACTGTTCAGCACTTTATTACAAAATTGTACAAAGCTGTGTAGATTTATTCATGTAACACAGCTTAATCATGTGATTTTGTATTACTGTTATTATTTTTTATTAATACTATTATTTGGCTACAGGGACTGTCAGCTTGTCTACTTTTAAGTTTAATTGGTTTTGTGTATGTAAACAAAAATACTGCGTGAATGCAAAACCAGTTAATACTTAGTAGTTGTATTAGTCATTTTCTCTGCGTGCTGTGAGAGATCAAATCATCCAATTGTATTTAGTTGCTCAAAAAAGGCATTGATTGTTGAATGTGCATTGTTGAATGCCTGCACTTTGCAAACTCCATTTCTTGCCAGCAGGTGGCAGTAGGTAGGACAGAAAGAAGAAAATGCTGGTGGTGTGGTGAACTGGACCCTGGACAAAATTCTGGGTCAGGGACCCATAAGAACTCAGCAGCAGTCTTTAGAAAGGACATGGCTTTGCAGGAGCACGAGCAAATAGAGCTATTTCAACATTTCCTCCAATTTTCCACAACACATCTATGTGGGCTGAACTTTTCAAGCATGGCTGCTATAAAAACTACAACCAGAGAATGACTGGGAGGTGCTGATAAAGAGCTATGTGTGTCCCTTTCTTTAGTTTGTGTTCATGTAAACAGGCCCAGATTTCTCAGTGAGTAAATTCAGAATTCATGTTGTCATTATATGTGCTGTATTAGGGTATGATGTGCCATTGTAACTTTTTTGACTGGTGGTTTGCCGCAGGATTTTATTTAGTTTTTTTAATGTAACACAATCAATCAACCTTTATTTATACAGGTAAATCCCATTGAGCCTCGAGGACTCATTTACAAGAGAGACCTGATTTCAACAAAGAAAGATGACAACAATGGACAACAGCAACAACAATAAGCAGTTATAAAAAACTCATACTACAGTTTTTTTTTTTTGTTTGTTTTTTTTAACAAATAGGATGGCTAAAAGGAAAAAGGTAACAAAACCAAAAAAACAGCTAGATTCCAAGACAAATGTATAAAACTAAAAACAGGAACATGTCAGCATTGGACCCTGCCAGGAGTCCAACAGATTCTTAAAGACACTTAGAGAGGTCAAGGTCGAGAGCTTCAAATCTTTTTGTAAGATATTCCAGGAAACAGGAGCGGAGTAGGAGAAGGCCCTTTTGCCTAGTTCAGTCCTCACTGAGGGAACACTGCAGGTAATAATGTCCTGAGAGCGCACTCCGTAGCTGCACTCACGCAGAGACATGTAGGAGGAGATGTATGAAGGCAGCAGACCAAGAAGTGATTTAAAGATGAAAATAAGTCACAAGTGTCATGGTTCAAAAAGCCATGCTAATATTAAAGCTATTGTTAAAAATAATCTAATAAATACTTTTATCATGTTTGTCTGTAAAATAAATACTGTCAAATCCAGGAGATAGTCTGGTTTAAATCAAGGTTTCATGCATATGATTTATCTTTAGGTTTTACAGCCGTGAGACAACACGGATTGTTTCAGAACTTGTACATTTTTTAACTTATTGCAAACTGAAACAAGAAATTATCCTCAAACATTAAGGCTTAGATACCAGTGCATTAAAAAAATTGAATATTGTGAAAAAGTTCAGTATTTTTTCTTCTCAATCATTTCAGAAAGTAAAACTCATATATTACATAGATTCATTGCACAGAGTGAAATATTTCAAGCCTTTGTCGCTTGTAATTTTGATGATTATGGCTTAAAAAATAATGAAAAAAAAAAAAATTCAGTGTCTCAGATAATTATAATATTCCACAGCCAGCTTTTGGTACCTTTATCAGTGTGGGCAGGAGCCAAGTCCTGCTGGAAAATTTAATCAGCATCTCCATAAAACTCGTCAGCAGAAGGAAGCATGAAGTCTCTAAAATGTCCTGGTGCTGCATGGACTGTGGACCAACACCAGCAGAAGAAGACATGGGCCCAAACCATCACAGACTGTGGAAACTTCACTCTGAACTTCAACCAACGTGGATTCTGGGTCTCTCCACTCTTCCTCCAGACTCTGGCACCTTGATTTCTAAATGACACGTAATATTTACTTTCATCTGAAAAGAGGACGTTGGACCACTGAGCAAGAGTCCAGTTTTTGTCTCTGCAGCAGGTAAGACGCTTCTCATGTTGTCTCTGGTTCAGGAGTGGCTCGACTTGAGGAATGAGACATTTGTAGCTCATAGGAGTTAATCGGCTGATTGGGGTGTGACACCGGGAGTTTATAATATTGAACCTCTTCACAAAATTCTAATTTTCTGAGACTGAGTTTTGGTTTTTCATTATTATTAAGTCATAATCATCAAAATTACAGGAAATAAGCGCTTTAATTTTTTTACTCTATGTGTAATCAATTTATATAATGTATGAGACAAAAAATAATGCCAAGTCACAACAGGGCACTAAACAAATACATTCATGTACATAAAAATTCAATTTGTAACATTATTTTTCTAAGGTAGCCAGCATATTGCATTGAGTCTTCATTTCGTGACAATCTCCCATCAAGCACAAGACAACAGTGGAAAGGAAAAACTCCTCCTAACAGGAAGAAACCTCCAGCAGAACCAGGCTCAGGACGAACAGCCATCTGCTTCGACGGGCTGGGTTTGAGAGGACAGGAACGAGAAACAGACACAGAATGGTGATGAGAGGTTCCTCACGAGCAGGAAAACTTGAACACAATATTCTAATTGTTTGAGATGCATTGCAAATCAAATGCAGCATCATAAAGAAAGTTAGCAAGTATGTAAAACAATCATTTTAACTTCTGCCTAGAAGAAACTGTAAAGCAGGATGAATGTTTAGGCACATTTTATTTTAGGGGTGCACTGTAAAATACCTGTATACTAAACGTGGTTTGTCTTATTTATAAAAATAATAATTTGGACGGAGTATGATGGGATAAATATAATATGTCATTTAAATCATATCTGTTGATATTATTTGCACAGTTGGTTTACAATAGTCATGGATAGTTTAGTTACTTGGGAAAGACAAAAAAAAAAATCGTTTTAGTCGCTGCAGTTCATAGTTTTTACCTCTAGGGGGCAGAATTTTCAAAGACTTCAGGTCAGATTCTGTTTCTGCGAGTAATACTTAAAGCCTCTGGTGTAACTGTAGTTTTATGTCGTTTAGAAAATAACTGCACAGTGTCACATTTTATCATGCAGCATGTCTGTGTGTTTACGTGTTACTGTTGCAGCTATAGTGTAGGCAACAAGATGATGGTCTGTGATCAGGAAAATGCTCACAAAATGCTTGCATACTTTATTTATTCAATTTAATTCAGTTTATTTATATAGCGCCAAGTCACAACAGAAGTCATCTCAGGGCACTGAACAGCTCAAACTAAATTAATAAAAACTGAGTTGCAATTGTAAATTACTTAGCAAATATTTAAATGTTGATGACACAGCTGAATATGGGTTCACATGTCAAACCTTTTAATTACCACTGTCGTTTCTCTTTCACAACGGTTAATAAAACAGAAACCACAAACTGAAGATTAATAACACGTTTGTCTTTTTTTCTCCTGACCAGTTCTCTGTTTTCCTCAACAGTTGGCAATTCAAACCCAAGAGGACTTTCGTAAAAGTCTGATACAAAGCAGCTACCTGCCTTCACAGGAAGTCATTTCCAGCCTGTAGGAATCCATAAAACCTCACATATACATCTGTGACACTTTGCAGCACATATGTTGTTCCTATGGCACATGTGTGTTATGTCTCTTGTAGTTATGCTGTATGTGGGCTGAGTGGTGTTTCACTGAGACACCACATGCCTGACTTGTTCTAGCCATAATGAGAGGTCATAAATTACAGACTGAAGCTTCTGTATTTAAGCTTCTCCCATTTTCTTGTATTTAAGAATTAGCCTCCAAACTTTCCAGTAAAGCATGTTGTATTGACGCAGCTCTTACGGAGTAAACTCTTAACTACACAGGTAATTTAGTGCCAAGCTGGCTGTAATTGTGTTTATTTATAGCACGTTGTATCTAGTTGTTGTGGACATGCCCAGGACTCCGGCATGACTTTCCCAGCTGAGGGCGGAGGCATGAGCAGCGTAAAATTGGGTCTCCGTGTTACACATATGTCAAATGCAGGAGCTGACTGGAAGACACATGAGTAGGCAGTCAATGTAGGAACAAGACTGGAAACAACTTGAGCTTGGGACACTTTGAGAATGCAGAATAAATTCTGCAGATTATGAAATATATTTAAAATGACATTTGGGAAATCTTGCAGTGGCACTAGACAAAAGCTTGGTGCTTTTAGTTTTGCAGACTTTGCTGGAATAAACAAAAGTAAAAAGAAATATGTAAAGCTGTCGTAATATGTCACATTTATACATTTGTTCTTCTTCAGCTCCTGAGAGGTTAATCAGGGAGCTGATTACTGTTTTTCAAATGTCTATTTATGAACATATCCTGTGGTAATGGGCACGGCTTCGTGCCCCCAAAAAAGTGTGCAAAGAAACGTTCAACATTTACAGGAACGTACATCATGGAGCGAGAAAAACAAAGAGGGGAAGGAGGAGAGGTGATCACCAACAGTTCAACAATTCAACTGAATTTAATTCAAAATCTTACAAACCTACAAAGCTCTCAACAACCTAGCTCCATCTTATATTCAAGATCTTATTGTTCCATATTTTTCGAACAGAGCACTTTGCTCTCAGACTGCAGGCTTACTTGCGGTTCCTAGAGTTTCCAAAAGCAGA